TGGATCACCTGAGGTCAGGAGTTCAAGACCAGCCTGACCAACATGGAGAAACCCCGTCTCTACTAAAAATACAAAATTAGCCGGGCGTGGTGGCACATGCCTGCAATTCCAGCTATGCGGGAAGCTGAGGCAGGAGAATTGCTTGAACCCGGTACGTGGAGGTTGCAGTGAGCCAAGGTCGCACCTTTGTACTCCAGCCTGGGCAACAAGAGTGAAACTCTGTCTAAAAAAAAAAAAAAAAAAAGAAAAAATTAGAGACTCTATGTGAAGGGCCTAGAACAGAGTCATTGCTGTATTCCTATAAGACACACATGCCTATTCATTGCCCTTTCATTGGGATAGAAGCCCTGCGAGGGTGGGGATGTTTGTCTGTTTTGTTTACAGATATGTCCCAAATCACTGGAACAAGCCCAGCAGTTAGCAGATTTGTGTGTTTGCTGAATGAATATAATTGGCATTAGCCGTTTATGTGAAAGTGAGCATGTCTTTGTGTTAAGTTGAAAGCTTAGATTTCCAAAAAATGGAATTAGAGTATTCCTGTAGGTACGATGGTCTCAGATTTCCTAAGGTTCTTTGTCAGTGGTAACAGCTGAAACAAAACCCTCACCACCTTTTAAGTAGCCAGGATTGAACACTCATCTTACCTTACTCATCTGATTACTCATCTTTATCTTCTTAGGACCACCTTTCACTCACCTGAGGACACCACAGAAGATGGTATATTATGGGAAACCTTCTTGTAAAAACAACTACGAGAATTATATTGACATAATAAAATATGTGTTCAGCGCTTACAAGAGAGAGTCCCCTCTCATCGTCAACACTATGGGATGGGTTTCAGGTAAGCCTGCACGCACACATCTGCAAGGGAAGGACAGGCAGTGTGAGTACTCCTAGCTTTCAGACAGCCACATTAAAGCCCAGTGTTTTGTTTTTTGTTTTTAATTGAGGCAGGGTCTCACTCTGCCGTCCAGGCTGGAGTGCAATGGCGTGATCTTGGCTCACTGCATTCTCTGCCTCCCGGGCTCAAACAATCCTCCCACCTCAGCCTCTGGAGTAGTTGGGACCACAGGCGTGTGCTACTCTGCCCAGCTAATTTTTGTAGTTTTAGTAGAGATGGGGTTTTGCCATGTTGGCCATTCTGGTCTTGAACTTCTGGCCTCAAGTGATCCGCCCACCTTGACCTACCAAGGCGTGCTGGGATTACAAACACGAGTCACAGCGCCCAGCCGAAGTCCAACTTATTGATGGTTTCTTTGTCTTAGAACAAATGCACCCATTTGTCTTAGGAGCGTGTCACTGTTCTTGAGTGTGTCACTGTTCTCGAGTGCATCAGCTGTGCTAATGTCTCTTCCCCACAGACCAGGGGCTCCTGCTTCTCATTGATCTGATCCGATTGCTGTCTCCCAGCCACGTGGTTCAGTTCCGCTGTGACCACAGTAAATATATGCCAGACCTTACCCCGCAGTATGTAGATGACATGGATGGCTTGTACACAAAAAGCAAGACCAAGATGAGAAATCGGCGTTTCAGACTCGCAGCATTTGCAGATGCTTTGGAATTTGCTGATGAAGAAAAAGAGAGTCCGGTTGAGTTCACTGGACATAAACTGATAGGTGTTTATACAGACTTTACATACAGAATAACTCCAAGAAATAGGTAACTAACCCTCATTTGGCTGAAGAATTAACGTTTCCTTCTGTCGAAAAAGGCCTGCCATTCTCAATTCCTCTAAAGGCCTGAGTCCTCTAAAATCTTCAGTTCTCTGTCACAGCTGTGCATTTACAAAGAAGAACCAGTTGTTTTCTGAACTGTTACGTTTCCAGGGAAATACCCAGAAGTGGCCCCTAACTCTGGCCACCAGCAACTTGGACTTAAAGGAGAGTCTTTACGCGTCCTGTTTTTCCAGTCGGGGTCTGTCAAGAGGGGGCAGTGCTGGAAAGCCCAGTACTCTGTGAAAATGTGACCTCTGTGATGACAGGTGTGAGAGGTGGCCGTGGAGGGTTAAATGTCTACTTACCTTGTTGTAATTTGCCTTTCAGAGAGTCACATAACAAAATTCTTCGAGATCTGACCATCTTGAGTTACCTTAGCCAGCTGCAGCCCCCGATGCCCAAACCACTTTCTCCTTTACATAGCCTGACACCCTATCAGGTAATCTGAACTTACGGGAGAAATTGTCTTCATTTTGTTACACACTTGTGTGGTTTTCTGTGTGCTGAGCACTCTTCTAAGCACTTCATAACTCCTCGCTCATTTAATCCTCAGAACATCCCAGTGTCATAGGTTCTGTTGTTATTCCCATTTTATAGATGGGGAAACTGAGGTGTAGAGAGGCTGAGGGACTCAGCAGTAGGGGCCGGGCTAGCATGCAGGCCCAGGCAGTTCAGCTCTGGTGACTGCTCTTAGCCATGTTTCTGTCCTGAGGTTGAGTGTGGCTCTGTGCTGGGTTTGAATGTCCCGCCTGGTCGCAGGGGCTGCTCCAGCACTTCCACTTTTCAGCTGTAGAACAGGGGTGCTACTGGGCCTCAGAGAGTGATCGTGTGGATTCAGGGAGCGTTCACAGTGGAACCTGGCACCCAGAGAGCACTCTTAAAGTACTTCACATTAGCCGGGTGCGGTGGCTCACGCCTGTAATCCCAGCACTTTGGGAGGCCGAGGTGGGCGGATCACGAGGTCACGAGATCAAGGCCATCCTGGCTAACACAGTGAAACCCCATCTCTACTAAAAGATAGAAAAAACTAGCCGGGCGAGGTGGCAGGTGCCTGTGGTCCCAGCTATTCGGGAGGCTGAGGCAGGAGAATGGCGTGAACCCGGGAGGCGGAGCTTGCAATGAGCCGAGATCGTGCCACTGCACTCCAGCCTGGGTAACAGAGCGAGACTCTGTCTCAAAAAAAAAAAAAAAAGAATAAATCCCTCTTGTCCTCTTTCCTAGCCCCTAGAGACTTCACCTCTGTTCTACTTTTTGTCCCTACGAATTTGGCTATTCTCATGTAAGTGGAGTCATCCAATACTTACCCTTTGTCTGGCTTATTTCACTCAGCATAGTATTGTCAGAATCCATCCATGTTGTAGCATGTATCAAAATTTAATTGCTGGCCAGGTACCATGGCTCACACCTGTAATCCCAGCACTTTGGGAGGCCAAGGTGGGCAGATTGCTTGAGCCTGGGAGTTTGAGACCAGGGTAGCATGGTGAAACCCAGTCTCTATAAAACATTATAAAAATGTATAAAAATTTTTATAATTATAAAAAATTATAAAAATTAGCTGGGCTTGGTGGTCCATGCCTATAGTCCCAGATACTTGGGAGTCTGAAGCAGGAGGATCACTTGAACCTGGGAGGTGGAGGCTGCAGTGAGCTGAAATTGTACCATTACACGCCAGCCTGGGCGACAGAGTGAGATTCTGTCTCAAAAAAAAAAATTAATTCCTTTTCATGGCTGGATGTTATTCAGTTGTATGTTTATATCACATTTAGTTTATCCATTCAGCTGTTGATGGACACTTGGGTTCTTTCCACATTTTGGCTCTCGTGAATAATCCTGCTATGAACACAGGTATTCAAATATCTCCTCCGGATCCTGCTTTCAGTTCTTTCAGGTATATACCAAGGAGTGGAATTGCTGGGTCTTATGGTAGTTCTGTGTTTAACATTTTGAGAACTGCCAAACCTTTTTTCACAGTAGTTGCATTTTACATTCCCACCAGCAATGCACAAGAGTTCTGATTTCTCCGTATCCTCACCAATGCTTATTTTGATTATAGCTGTCCGAGTTTGTGTGAAGTAATGTCTTATTTACCAAAATGAGACATTTACATTTACATTCCCTTAAATGACTAATGATGTTGAGCATTTGCTTATTGGCCATTTGTATATCTTCTTTGGAGAAATGTCTATTCCAGTCCTTGAATATTGCTTGTGTGGTTTGTTTTTTGTTTTTGTTTTTGTTTGAGACGGAGTCTTGCTCTTTGCTCTGTCGCCCAGGCTGGAGTGCAGTGGCGTGCTCTCGGCTTACTACAAGCTCTGCCTCGTGGGTTCATGCCATTCTCCTGCATCAGCCTCCTGGGTAGCTGGGACTACAGGCGCCCGCCACCACGTCCAGCTAATTTTTTGTATTTTTAGTAGAGATGGGGTTTCACTGTATTAGCCAGGATGGTCTTGATCTCCTGACTGCGTGATCCACCCGCCTCGGCCTCCCAAAGTGCTGGGATTACAGGCGTGAGCCACTGCGCCTGGCCAATGCACAGTTCTTAATTTTGATGAAGTTCAGTGTATCTATTTTTTCACTTGTTGCCTATGCTTTTAGTGTTACATCCTTGAAATCATTACTAAATCTAATGTCATCATGATTTTCTCTCATGTTTTCTTGTAAGAGCCTTATAGCTTTTAACTCTTTTTAATTTTTTTTATTTTTAAATTTTTCAGCCTGAATATGTTTGTTCCGTTTTTGCTCTTAAGTTTAGGTTTCTGATCCATTTTGAATTAACATTTTCATATGCTGTAAGGAATTGGTCCAGCTTCTTTCTTTTGAATATAGATATTGAGATTTTCCACCACCATTTGTTGAAAAGACTGTCTTGAAGATGGTTTGATCTTATATGTATGGGCTTATTTCCTGATTCCATTTCTGTTTCATTGGTCTACATATCTGTCCTTGACCCAGTATCATACTGTTTTAATTACTATAGCTTTTCGGTAAGTTTTGAAGTCGGTACAAGTCCCTTCCCCATTTTTCAGTTGGGTTATTTGCTTTCTTGCTGTTGAGTTTCTTGTGTTCCTTACATATTTTGGATATTAACCCCTTATCAGATGTATGATTTACAAATGTTTTCTCCCATTCTGAGGGTTGTCTCTTTGTAAATTGTTTCCTTTGTTATGCAGAAGCTTTTTAGTTTGATGCCATCTCATTTGTCTATTGTTACTTTTGTTTTCAGGGTCATATCTAGAAAATTGTTACCTAGACCAGTGTCATGAAGCGTTTCCTCTAGTAGGTTTACAGTTTCAGGTCTTTTTTTTTTTTTTTTTGAGACGGAGTCTTGCTTGTCGCCCAGGCTAGAGTGCAGTGGCGCTATCTTAGCTCACTGTAAGCTCCGCCTCCCGGGTTCACACCATTCTCCTGCCTCGACCCCCGAGTAGGTGGGACCACAGGTGCCCGCCACCACGCCTGGCTAATTTTTTGTATTTTTATAGAAACAGGGTTTCACCATGTTAGCCAGGATTGTCTTGATCTCCTGACCTTGTGATCCGCCCGCCTCGGCCTCCCAAAGTGCTGGGATTACAGGCGTGAGCCACCGCGCCTGGCCAGTTTCAGGTCTTAATACTTAAGTCTTTATTCCATTTTGAGTTGATTTTTGTATATGATGTTTGATAAAGATATCTAGTAGTATCCTTCTTTTCCCTGTGAATAACCAGATTTTCTGGTCTTATTTATTGAAGACTATCCTTCCCCCTTGTTTTGTTATTAGCATCTTTGTCAGAAATAAATTGGCTGTAAATGCAGTGTTTATTTCCAGACTTTCTATGCTGTTCCATTGAGTGATATGTCTCTTTTTATGCCATTACCGTGCTTGGTTTCTGAGAGAGACAGGGTCTCACTGTCACCCAGGCTGGAGTGCGTTAGCACAGTCATAGCTCACTGCAGCCTCAAATTCCTGGAAACAGGTGATCTGCCTCAGCTTCCGAAAGCACTGAGATTGCGGAGCCTCCATGCCTGATCCTGCCATGCTGTTTTACTTTAAAACGCCCGGCTAATTTTTTGCATTTTTAGCAGAAACGGGGTTTTACCGTGTTAGCCAGGATGGTCTCCTGACCTTGTGATCCACCCGCCTTAGCCTCCTGAAGTGCTGGGATTACAGGCATGAGTCACCGCACCCGGCCCACACCTGGCTAATTTTTAAACAATTATTTTTAGAGGCAGTGTCTCACTTTGTAGCCCGGGCTGGACTATGCTCTTTTAATTATAACTGCTTTTGAAGTCAGAGAATGTGATACCTCCAACTTTTTTTTTTTTTTTTTTTTTTTTTT